TTTTTTTTTTTTTTTTTTTTTTTTTTTTTTTTTTTTTTTTTTTTTTTTTTTTTTTTTTGTAATTGGTCTTTAAACTCATAAGAAGTGTATCTATAAGCTTGAAGGGGAATGAAGGACCGGAACCACTAAACCAGAATAAATTTTACAGTCACTAGATTTTAGAATTTCGTAGAGATTGCAACTTGTTTTTCGATTTGTATCTTCCTGCTCAACTACCCTTAATTCATGAAAAGTAATGTATGAGCTTCCTAGACGTTAGATCGGTTAAAATATCATCACTAGCCCAAAAGGGTCAAGCCCAATAAATATATGAGTGAATTTTATATTTATTTTAGAAAAATTATTTAAGTATTTTAGGAATAAACATACCCAAATATTTTAGGAAAATGATTTAAGTATTTTAGGAATAGATATCCTAATTATTTTAGCAAAAAAAGATTTAGATATTTTAGAAATAAATTGTCTGGTCTCTATTATAATAAATATCCCTTAACCCTACCTAAGTTTTCATCCCAAGAAATAAGAGGTAGCAGTGTTCTACGGTGTGTATTCTCTTCTGGATTGGTAATAAAGAGTACGAGTGTTTCCCACAAATAATTGTGTTCAACAAGGTGTTAGAGCGAGGTTAGTGTAGGTGTTAGAGCTAGGCTTGTTTGGTATTACTGAGGTATTGCTAACACGGCGGGTGATTTCCAAATCGTTGGAGGAATCTAGAAACTCAACAACAACTACAACACGTGGGCAACATGCATGATATCCTATTTACAAAAACATAACCTTTGGGAGATCGTTGACGGGAGTGAAACGCCGCCAGAGGAGGATTCTAACATTGCCTTGCGCAAATGGAGAATCAAAGCAGGCAAAAAAATGTTTGCCTTGAAGACCACAATTAGAGAAGAGATGTTAGAGTATATTTGGGATGACAAGACATTGAAAGAAGCATGGGACATGTTCGTGATGCTCTTCTCAAAGAAGAACGGTACGAGGCTACAACTTCTAGAGAACGAGTTTTTATCAATTTCACAATATGACATGACGATTGCTCAGTACTTCCACAAAGTCAACTAGATATGCCGAGAGATTACTGAACTAGACCCAAAGTATGCAATTGGAGAAGATCAAATGAAGATGATCATTATCCGCGGATTGCGACCAAAATATAGAAACTTCATTATTGCCGTACAAGGATGACCCACTCAATCATCACTCGTAAAGTTTGAAAATTTGTTAGTCAACCAAGAAGCCATGGGCTAAACAAATGGGAAGCATTACATTGAAAGGTGAAGACGAAGCACTCTATACAAATGAAAGTCGGAGCAAAAATAAGCCGTCTACCAAACGTGAATACAAAAATGGTGACAAAGGAAGAAGCCACCGAGGAACTGCACAACCAAGGAGAGCTTAGAAGAACGACAACAAAAGCTTTCAAGGGAAGAGATTTGAAGGTATTTGCTACAATTGTGTGAATAAGGGCCACATGTCAAGAGATTGTTGGTCTAAGAAAAAATCTGTGGAAAGCAATGGGATGCAGAGGTACTATAGTCTATAAAAGAAGATGAGTTAGCACTCATGGTGACGATGAGAGACTATATTGATTATGAGAATGATTGGATCATTAATTCAGAATGATCAAACCATATGATTAGAGAAAATTGTAAGACAATAAAAAGTACAAAGGAAGTCGTATAGTACGCACAACAAATAACACACAGATGTCAATTGCTTAAATCGGCAGCACGACAATCATGCCTGGTAATAAATCTGATATAGTGTCACTACATAATATTTATCATGTACCCCGGGTATAAAGAAGAACTTGTTGTTAGTGTCACAACTAACAATATCAGAAAACTATGTCTTGTTTGGGCCAGAAGATGTGAAAGTCTATGAAAATGTTAAGATAATAGGAAAGGTGTCAATAGAAGGGCGAAGAGTGGAGTTCGTTTACGTCCTATATGCAGAGTCTGCCAATGTTGACAAAACTCGGAAGAATGAGACAACAGATCTATGGCATGCAAGATTCAGACATGTTGGCTACCACAAGTTGAAGCTGATTATGGAGAAATCCATGCTCAAAGGCCTACGTCAACTTGAAGTCCAAACAGACGTTGTTTGAGCTAGACGTTGTTCAATCTCATCAATTACCATACAAAGAGTCAAATTTCAAAGCAAAGAAACCATTAGAGTTAATTCACTCTAATTTGTTTGATCCAGTCAAACAAGCATCGATAAGTGGAATGTGGTCTATGGTGACGTTCATTGACGACTACTCAAGATATGTGTGGATTTTCAAGATGATGGTCGAAGGAGAAGTAGGAGTGAAGATTTATTGCCTACATTCAGACAATGGTGGAGAATACACGTCAGATGAGTTTGATCAATATTTACACGAGTGTGGGATACGATATCAGTTTACATGTGCTATAAACGTCACAACAAAATTGTATAGCAGAAAGAAAGAATCGACACCTTGCAGAAATTTGTCACTTTACTTGTCGAAAACTACTGCCCATGTGATCAACAAGCTTCCCCAACCAAGGCTAGGATTCGTCTCACCATTTGAGATACTATAGAACATGAAACCTACAGTTAGCCTTCTGAGTATATAGTTGTGTTTGCTATGTATTTGTGTCTGACCACCTATGTAGCAAGTTTGATAAAAAATTAGTCAAGTGTATATTTGTTGGATTTGACAATCAAAGGAAATGGTGGAAGTATTATGATCCAACAAGTGGAAAATACTATATATCAAGAGATGCAGTTTTCGATGAAGCATATTCATGGTGGTATTCGGAGAAGAAAGTTTTACTAGATTCAAACAACATCGAAGAAATTCTACAACAGAATATGGGGGAGCAAACTACGCACGCTCAGCTAAATATTGATGCACCTAATGACCCAAGTGACATTGATATTGATGAGCAAGAAGTGATTCAATCAAACGAATTTGATGAAAAGGAAACGACACATCAACAACTTAGGTAATAAAAAAGAATCCAGAAGCCAAATCCTAAGTATGTCGATGTAGCTATTGTAGAAGATGGAATCAATGAACCAGAGACATGAAGAAGCATCACATAACTCGGTTTGACAGAAAGTGATGGAGGATGAAATTATAGCCTTGGAGC